GGGGCAGGTCCTTAGGCTTTTAGAGACAGACATCATGCCTTAGTGTCACCAGGAGTCATGGTATCACGGGAGTCATGGTAATGGGCCAGGCATACTGTACACACTGCACAACACTTTCCCTGTTCCTGCCTCTCCAAGCCCCTCAGTGGCCTCCTCACCCTTCACTGGCAGGGCACGGTAGGAGCTTCTTCTCACACACTTGCATGGATCACATTCCTGTAGAACTCTTGTCTGGATTTTCAATTTTCATCTGCTAGAATGACACCTGGAGTAGCACTCTATACCTTACCGGGCTATAAACTCCACAAGACCAGGGAGGAATCTGTGGTTTCTGCAGAGCTCAGAGCCTACCCAGTGCACTGGCTGTGACATGTAGGAGCACAGAGCGCACACGCCCAGGCAGCAGGCGGCCAAGACGGCTTGAGCTCCACATGCTGGACTGCAGCCTCTTTCCGGGAGCATCACATCCCAAATCCCAGTCTTTGTCTGAGGATACACATCTGAAAGATTGACTAGGGAGGGAATGGCAAAGGTCACTCGACCCTGGTACCATCACACAGTGGGGGGCAAAAAGAGCAATTGGGAAAGCCTTCATTTATCCAAACAAATACTTGTTCTGTACATCCAGGTCTGGGTACTATAGGGGAAATAAAGACAAAGCAGGTTTTCTTTCAAGCTGCATATGGTCATACATCAGAGATGTGTTTATAAATAGCCATAATGCAGCCCAGAAAAGGCTAAAATCAGTGTGAGAGAGAACACAAAGGTCTCCTGAGCAGGAGATGGGCTCATCTATCATTAACTCGTTGGGATTCCTGTACAATGAAAGGAATTTCAAATCAGGAAAAAGCAAACAGGATCGACCCAAGATCACTCTGAAACAGTGGTGGCCCCAGCCTCATCCCTCTCCCTCACCCGTAGAGACCACTGTGACTGAAATCCCATCTCCACATCTAGAACTGGCTTCCCTAACCCTGAGCTATTCAAACTAAGCCCAGAAAGGAAAACACCACCAGGACAGAAATGCCAGGCAAAAGCAGGAAGACACTTGAAAAAGCCGTTCACGTCAGCGCTGTGCAGGGTCAGGCGGGCGACCAAGTACTGACGCCCGGGACTCAGACATCCCTATATAAAAGACCAGCCGACACCCCTGACGCCCTCAGATCTCGGTCAGGCCCCCACATCCCTGAGCACCTACGGTTGATCACGGTCCCTGACACCCGGAGATCCCGGGTCCTGATACCCCGGGATCGCGACACCCTCGAGGCCCCCACACTCCTGAATTTCCAAGACCCGACCCCCACATCCCAGTGACCACCCGACGCCTGGAGACCCTGCGGCCCAGCCTGGCCCGACTTCAGCCCGCGCCTGCCCGCCGGCCCTACCGTAGGTCTCGGACATGGCCGTCTGCGACATTCTGCCGTCTCTGCTGATCTGTCCCGTCCGGTGGGAGCCCGCGGCGGGACCGAGCAGCGGGCGGGGCGCAGACCCGGGGCGAGCGCTGGGCCACGGGCTGCGGCCCAGCGGGACTCGGCTCGGCGCACGCGCAGAAAGGGGGCGGGGC